TACCAGTTAAAACAATAAAACAGCAGATTTTTCTGATGACAAATCCATAAAATATAGCAAGTTCAGGGATTTCCTGTAAAGTAGGTGAGCAAATTGTGGTATACAGCAACCAAATATTTATCTCAACGCACTGTTTAAATCTTTAACTTGTAGGTCAAATTATTTATAAGCTTCAAGGGGGACTTGAACCACTTCATCTCAAGTAATTTTATTTCTAGTAATCAAAATATCTGGCAAAATGCATGGGAAATTTTCTTTCCTGTGTTGAAAAATAAAGTTTGCATTTGTTCACTAGGACATGTTGACCAAAATCTGTAGATCAAATTTCATATAAAAGAGGAATTCATTCTTTAAATGAAAAATTTAGCAAAAACTTAGCATGTGAAACAGAGAAAGTATAACTTTTTTTTGAAATTTAGGTGATAGGCTGTGGTTCAGGATGATATTTCAGAGCCCAGTGTAAAATCACTCTTGTATTCTTTTATATTGGATGTTTGTTTCCCCCCAGAATTCCTATGTTAAACCTCTAACCCCCAATGGCATGGTAGTAGGAGGTGGGGTCCTTAGGAGGTAATTAGGTTCAGATGAGGTCATTAGGGTGCAGTGCCCCTGCTTAGCGTCCTTATAAGGAAAGACCTAGGCTAGAGCTTGCTCTCTTGGCCATGTGAGGACACAAGAAGGCTAGAAAGTGGTCCCCTCACCAGACATCAGATCTGCTGGTGCCTTAATCTTGGACTTCTCAGCCTTCAGAATTGTGAAAAATAAATGTTTGTGGTTTAAACCACACAGTCAATGGTATTTTTGTTATAGGAGTTTGAACTAAGATATGCATACACATACTTCTAATTTTACTTCTGACTGACTGGAAGTCAAAGCTTGTAATTGACTATGAAATAAAACATTCCTGTTGATGTCAGTTAATTTGTAACTGCATATATAGCTTTCTGTGATTTTTGCTCAATGATCATAATATTTCCATAATATTTTTAATTCAGTCAAAATGGTGAAAATTTTTACTCCGCTGGGAAATTGACATGTAAAATTTACATATTTCGATCAGAAATAATGATTGCTGCCCATAGAAAATGCCAAATTATTAAATTAACAAATCTAACCACGTATCTATTCATACAGCAACTGCATGCTCACACAGGTGTAAAGTAGCTGGTACTTTTAAGAGCAGCTTAATCTATATAGGAAATCACAACATTAATGCTTTCACATTAATTACATCATTAACCCTTAAAAACACCCTGTGTAAGGAACAGAAAGCCAAATACTGCAGGTTCTCACTTATAAGTGGGAGCTAAATGATGAGAACACATGGGCACATAGAGGGGAACAACACACACTGGGGTCTATCAAAGGGTGGAGGGTGGGAGGAGTGAGACAATCAGGAAAAATAACTAATGGGTACTAGACTTAATAACTGGGTGATGAAATAGTCTGTACAACAAATCCCCACGACACAAGTTTACCTATGTAACGAACCTGCACATGTACCCCTGAACTTAAAATAAAAGTTAAAAAAAAAAAACCCTGTGTAGAGCAAAGGTTGTTACCATGGTTTGCAGGCAGGCAGAAACTGAGATTCAGAACAGTAGCACGTCTGAAAGTGTCAGAGCCACATGGGACTGCCCCTCCCGGTGTTGTTAGGTTCTATCCCACTCTTTTTTGGGTTTTTTTTTTTTTTTTTTTTTTTTTTGAGATGGAGTCTCACTCTGTTGTCCAGGCTGCAGCACAGTGACGCCAGTGGCATGATCTTGGCTCACTGCAACCTCTGCCTCCCGGGTTCAAGAGATTCTCCTGTTTCAGCCTCCCAAGTAGCTGGGACTATAGGCACGCACCACCATGCCTGGCTAATTTTTGTATTTGTAGTAGAGATGGGATTTCACTATATTTGCCAGGTTGGTCTCAAACTCCTTGATCTCATGATCCACTCATCTCGGCTTCCCAAAGTGTTGGGATTACAGGCGTGAGCCACTGCGCCCGCCCCCACCCCCCCGCCTTTTTTTTTTTTTTTTTTTTTTTTTAAGAAGGAGTTTCGCTCTTGTTGCCCAGGCTGGAGTGGAGTGGAGTGGCGCGATCTTGGCTCACTGCAACCTCCGCCTCCTGGGTTCAAGTGATTCTTCTGCCTCAAGCCTCCCAAGTAGCTTGAATTACAAGCATGTACCACCACACCCAGCCAATTTTTGTATTTTTAGTAGAAACAGGGTTTCTCCATGTTGGTCAGGCTGGTCTCAAACTCCTGACCTCGGGGGATCCGCCTGCCTCGGCCTCCCAAAGTGCTGGGATTACAGGCACAAGCCACTGCACCCGGCCCTATCCCACTGTTTTTAAAGACACTTACAATGAATCTTCCAGTTTTGTTAGAGCAGCCATAAAGCCGAGGTGGATGGTCTTCAGCCTGGGTCTCCAGTAGTGGGGAGGTCTGGTAGTCTTCTTTCCCTCCAAGGGAACTCCAAAACTCCTCTGTGGAAAACACACTGAGTTATCCAGTGCATTTTCAGGAACACATGCTTGCTGTTGCTTTATATGAACAAATATCATCTCACCTTGGTTTCAATGTTGAGAAGTTACTTAAAGAAATCAGGTACCATCACCCACCCACCTTTGCAACTAATGGAGAGATTGTTAACCCTTATAAGCCGTTAGAAAGTGGCTTTTTGGTGAAAAAAAGATGATTGGCAATCATATCAATATAAAATCTAGTTAGTGCCCTTGGCCCCACAGCACACACCTGGCTCCTCGCCTTCTTGGATCCGTAAAGTTTTGCACTTGAGGACACTTGCTACATACTCTGCTCCTTTCTCCTCCTCCTGGCTAGCACCTTTTCCTATCCAGATGTAGCCACTATTTTGTGGCAGTTTCAGGACAAAAACATCGTTAGAATTCAGTGAATGTGCATCAACATCAACCTGGAATATAAAGAAAAATAAAACAGTGATTCAAATTCATTGCTGCTCCCTCAATAAACACGTCCTAGAAGCTGTGACTGTGGCAAACCATACATAGCCTTCTGCCCTATCCCAGGAAATTAATTCAGGGCAGCTCTGGGACACCACTATGGTGTTTTAAACCCTAGAGTAGGAGCACTTTGGTCTGTGTCACTTGTGAATTTGTGACTCTGTGTCCTTCTCTGTGAGAACCTTTCTGACCATATGACTGTGCTACTATGTCACTGGCATGACTTTCTGCATAATTGTCGAACAAGTGTGATATGTGATTCCAGAAAGAGGAAGAAGAACCAATAAGCAAGACTGAGGGGGAGTAGCTGAGACGGAGGAGGAAAACAAAAGTGTAGTGATCTTGAGGCCAAGTGAGGAAAATGCTTCAAGAAGGCAGGGGTGATTTGCTGTGCCAGATGATGCTGCTTGGCCATCTACACTGAACTGCCAGGATGAAGGCATCCACGATGTGGAGAGTTGAATATCACCAGGTTTCTCAGGAGCCCGTCCAAGGAGAGAACACTAGAGGAGGAAGGAACGATTGTTGAAAGTTTTAAAGGCATGTCCAGGAATTGGGAACATTCAGGAAAATGATAAAAATTCTCTCCCAGCAGGAATGAGGCCTCACAGACCAAGCTCAAAGGAATCTATCAGATGTAATGATGGAGAATTACAGGAACCAAGTCTGGCTTCCAGGGCTTCCAATTTCTAATATATACATCTCATTATGGGTCCAGAGGAAAGAGCCAGGATGAAGGCTAGAAGGTGACAAGAGATCTATGCCCAGACTGGTGTGAGATCAGGAAATGAGATCTAAAACAGAACCTTATAAAGACTTAGACTGCCAGCAGATGAAGACAGGAAGACTTGTGAAATGATCTTGACTGGTGCATTTCAGAGAGGCTGGGAATGTGAAAGCTGGTTTGAGAGGCCGCAAGGAAATAAAGAGATGCACTGCAAGCAGCTGATGAGGTCTCACAAAGGAATGTCCACTGGGGAAGAAATCAGAATGTAGGAATGGGGCATTTTGGTTGACTTTCCCATCTGAAATCAACTGAGAATGCCCATAGATAATGAATGCTTAAATGTCATTTTGATAGTTTTTAAATGTCAAAAAATAATAGTCATAATTAAACATAGAAGAATCCGTGCACAGAAGGTTCTGGATGAGATCAATACATACGCTGGCATTTATACTATATGACTAAATGAGACCATGGTGAAGGGGCCAAGGCCGAGGCTTGGAGCGCTGAAGAACTTAGAGGTCAAACAGAAGAGGAAAACACAGCAAACTGGCCCAAGAGGAGTGGCCGATAGGTTAGGAAGAAACCATGGTAAGTGTGGGGATACATTCACCTAGTGAAAAAAAGAAGTGCTCAATAAAACTGGAAAGGCTGACTGGCAAATGCTAGTGGGAAGTTGAGAAAAACGAGATCAGAAAAGTGACCTTTGATTGTGGCATGCGGCAGGTCACCGGCAAACTAGATAAAAACCAATTCAGTGGACTAGTGGGATGGACACCTGATTGAGGTGGTTTTAGAGAGAACTGGCTTTAAAAAGTAGAGATGATGAGTGAGTGAAAACACTCAAGACAAACCTTTCAATGATATGTGCTCTTAAGAAGGACAGAGAAATGATGCAGTAGCTAGAGAAGGTAATGGTCAAGGTCAAGACACAGTTTTTAAAGAAATGACAGGAGGTTTTTGTTACAGTCATCTTTGTAGTTCAAAGTGAATGATTCCACATAGAAAAATAAATTGATGATACAGAATGAAAGGAGATTACTGCTTACAATCATGATGAACTAGAAGTGGAATAAATGCACGGGAAAGACAGAAATCCAGGAGATTTCTTAGGAAAGCAAGAAAGGGAAGGATCCAGACAGAAGTTGGTGGCCAGGTGGGCGGAGGAGGAATTGGGCCTTAGATAGGAGGGATAGTCTATGTAATAAACATTTAATAAACTATTTATTGATGTATAACTGTATACAAATACATTATTCATTGCTAATTTATGGATAATAGTATATATGTAATATGTATAGTATATAATCACTTATAAGACACTTCATATATGGAAATTCCTAATATAAAACATTTATTAACTTAAAAATATAAATACAAATTTGATATTTATTTCATAAAACAGGAGGGAAAGAGAATATATACATAGATGCAGACAAATTGATAAAGTTGCAGGGGAGTAGATAAGATGATTTATGCCTGATTTATCTTCTCTGTGAACTCTAAATTAAAGTTATCAGTAGAGAGAAGGGGATGCTGGGGATGTGGGGAGAAAGGAGGACATGAAGGGTGGGGTGTGAAGGAGGCAGCGGGTTCATGGATTCAGCTATAGGCCTGGAGAATTGCCAGAATGTGCATTCTAGAGTAAAGGAGCCAAAGGACAGGAGAGAGTTGTCAGAGATTAGATGACTGGAACAGATTTCTGAGGAGCTATAGTTATTGCAAATGGCAAAATTTAGTATAGGACCATGTGAGTGTGAGATGAAATGCGGTCAAGCAAAAGACTGCTGGAAGAGAGAAGCCAAAGAGATGGAAATAGTGAGATAATGGCTGAAGTCATCAAAGAAGAGGAGAAGGACTGGCAGTTCAGTCTATGAAAGCACAAGAGGTCTGGAGGAGGGAAAGTCTGATACAAAGGAGAGAGGCAAGATAAAATCAAAGAGGTAAGGGTGAGCGGGGTGGGGGAACTTGTCCAGCCCCATCCCTGAGGCCGTGGTGAGTGGGCCTTGGGAAAACACAAGTTCCACTTGAGAAGGTCTGCAGGGGAATCTGTCCTCAGAGGACAGTCGTAGAGAAATCAGGTGCAGGGAGAGGGAGGCTTAGAGAAGAGGTCACAGGTGGAGGGATGAGATGACCAACCCGGGTTTCAAGGGTCTGCTGATGGACTTGTATGGAGGGGGAGTTTGAGGGACAGCTCCAGGCTTGATATGCAGAGTATGCCGGGCAGTGTAAGGGTGATGTGGAAGACTTGGATTTCAATGGTGACTGGGGTGACAGGATTGTCCTAAGGTCAAAGCACTTAGCTATTTAAAAACCTGGGCAGACTGGCCTTGTCTATTCCTGGAGGTCTCCTTATCTTATGGCACCATGGCATGGGGTCTGATTTCTCTCCCAGCTGCTGTCAGAAACAGCTCATGGGGCCAGTTCAGTTACGGTTCTGGTCCAGTGTGGTGGGACATGCCTCCCATATTTGTTACACTTGTGCAAACGAGGGCCTTCCCTCTCAAATGTCTCTACTGTGGTCAATCACCTGACCATCACCTGTGATCCATCCACCTCAGGCCTTTCAAGATGGAGCTTAAGCAGCCTCATGCTTTTGACAGCTAATTTGTGATAGTATTCTTAAAAATTTATTTGTTTGGGTTCAATGCAATTGAAAAATGTGAGAGGCCTGATATCTAGAGTTTTACTTTTTACTCAACTCTCCTGCTATTAGTGTTTTTAAAATTTTGAACAGTGGATTAATTATAGAAATGAAGGGGTTTTATTTGCCAAGTTTTTAAAGTCTAATATTTGCTGATGGCTCAGGTCCATTGGGAAGTCCACAACTAGGACATGTTTTATGGAATGCATGACATTACCTCCACAATTCTGGTGATAGATGCCAGGTTTCTCCGGACTTGAAAGAGGCGTGTAGGGGGAGCAGGTGCCTGACCTCCTTTCTTTGATGTTCCATTCTTGTAAATAATGAGCGGTTTGTCTTTGAACAAACTCAGCAGGTGAATAGGCTCTTTGCCTTGGGAGACTCGGATCTGATGGGGGAGAAGGGGAATAAAAGAAATATAATTAAGAGTACCGTGAAAGAAGGTTTTAGTTCCAAGTGTGTTCTTATGTTCTCTTTTTGAAAATAAAACAAAAAATAAAAAGTCAAGAGCAGGAGAAATGATGATTAACAGAAAATATAGGTTAATGAAAATCAGTTTTCCTTGGTGACTTAAGAATCTTTTGTTTTTGCAGGCACGGTGTCCCTGAGTAGTTTCTTGTCAGGGGAAACATCACCATGCTCCAATACTTTCTGTTTTTGAAAAGTATGAAGATTTAAGTTTGTTTGTTACATCTCCGAAAGAGACAAGGTAACACCAAAGTGCTGGAGTCTGCGACCTTATGTGAAAATCTTAAGTGAAAATCGCTCTTCTTTCAAGGGTGCCAGTAACACTTACAGATACTTACAGAGGTACTAGAATCTCATGTTTTTGGATCTGGTTCAGAAGGTTAAGAGATGTGCATTCAAATGCTTTACAACATAAGATGACCCCAAATCATACTCATTATTTCTATACCTCTGTATTTGTAAAATAAAAAAATTACACACACACAAAGATTTCCATACAAGCATTAAAAACGGGCAAAAATAAACAGAATATGTTTTCTACTTTTTAACTTACCTATAGAAATGTAATAGTAGATATGCTCAATATAAGAAACTTTAAAAAATAAGACTTTTTAAAAAATAAGTCTTTTTTTTTTTAAAAAAAGACTTCAGGATGAGGAAATCGAAAAAAAAGGAAAATTATTTACTTGATTTTATTTATTAGCCCCAAATATTGGATTAGAATTTCCTATTTCTCGTACAAACTATTGATGCATTTACATAAAGAGTTCAAATTTCATGTCAGTCTCCTGTTGTTTTCATTTATTCTGCCCTATGCGAAAATTGAACTGTCTCACTTCCCCTGGTTTGTCTTTTTCTAGAAGCCAGGTGAATGGGAATGCTGATGCATGTACCATTAGAGGGAGGCCTAAAGGCATTGAAAATAACTGACTTCATAAATATATTTCAATTAGTAGGCATTCAAATAAGTGAGCAGCAAATTATAGAAATGTTTTCTCAGTTATGGTCTCACAAATACCTAAAACTGTTGGCTTAGCATTTCATATAACATGGAGAAAATTTTAATTGCCAACATGAGAGAAAGTGAAACACTGATTAAGGCCCATCTCTTACTGTCAAAGGAGAATAAGAAAGAAAAAAGGTTGATTAAAAGTAATTTTAATGGTTAATATATTCTACAAAGGAGGATTGAAAACCGCAATACTTTAGTTTTTTCATGCATTATTGTAAGCTACTGCCATCTAGTGATTAAACTAAAAATTACCATTTTGTTGTCAATTTAGGATTCAACTGGCTAACAATTCATGGAAATTCATAATCGAGTGTATCAAATATAGTACTATGAAATATGAAATATGTAAGACAATGCATATCTTCAAAGTTTTTTGTAATAGTTTGGTAAGTAATAACTTAAAGATCAACTAAATTTCATAGAATTGAGTGCATTTAAATAATGCAGTCATCTCATTAATTTGTTAATTAAAAATTAGCAAGTTATTTTTAAAAAGTTAATATGCACCTTTAAATTTAGATGTAACTCGTTTTATGTATCTACTAACTTGTATCAAGATGGGAAGGAAACCAGCTGGAAGACCAACTTCAGCCTCCACATCTTACACTTTATGTTCTAAAGAGTCTAACTTGCCTCTTTATTTAATTATTATATTAAAATAAGCAATTACACACTGACAAAGATTTGAAAACAAGACAGGAAAAACCCTTTTGTACCATATAGAATCTTAGCTCTCTTGACACCAGGAATGAGGAAGTTAAACAGGCACAACCATGCAAAGGGAGTGTTTCATGCTGCTGTATCAGAAACATCACTGCACTGGCCAAGTAAGCACCTGCTTTCTGTTTGAACTCTAATCTGTAAGATGCTTTTCCCACCAGATAGGAGCAGATGGCTTCTCAAAAACTGGCCAAAGACAACAGGCGGGCAGAAAACAGGCAGCAGTGTGCGCACCTCCAGCTAGGAAGACACAGGGAATGAGAGAGAGGGAGAGAGAAAGCTCCAGCCAGCTGTAGGGAAAAGGAACAAGCAAGTGCCCTTTCCCAGAATGAACAAGAAAGCAGACAGACACACTGGGGCACACTAGAGGAAAACAGGGACTCCTTGAAGTCTGTATATCAGTTATACAGTAAGGGAATTTAAAAAACAAAGACCCAAACTTTTTCATGGTAACTAATAAGGGTCCTGAAACAAGTAGCAGATACTCCACCATAACTATAAAAGGAGGAGCAGTTGAACTTAGGAGAGGACAGAAGGTTGAACCAGGCTAGAAACAGCAGTCTCTTAGACACAGTGAGATCTAGAACTAGACATTGATACTGTCTGACACTGTATAACATTTAAAGTTTTATAATAAATAAAGCAGTATATTATCTTTTCCTGCCCATTTTTCTCTATTTTAATCTCTCTCTGTCTCCAGATAGAGATAGATAAGATAGATAGATAAGTTAGATAGATATACTAAAAAGTTGACTCATTTTTAATTACATGAAATTTTCATTTTGAATTTGGATTTAGTCATTCTCGACAAGTAATTTTTTTTTCAGAAATACCCAAATAAAAAAATATCTCTCTCTTCCCTCTCATACTATCCTCTCCCTTGCCCTTCCTCTTTTCTCCTCCTTCCTACTTGTCTCATTTCTTCCTCCATGATTTCCCTTTCTTCTCTTCCCTCTCCTCCCCTCCTTCCCCTTTTCTTTCCCCTTTCTCCCTATCTTTTCTCTTTGTCCCTCCCATTTCTGTTCATGCTTTCTCCCTCTCCACCACTTCCTCCCTCACTTTTGGGTGATGGACTTTGTTTCAGTAAAGATTTTGGTACCTAAAAGGGAAATATAAGGACTCATGCTATTTTATCAAGATTTATTTCTATTTACTTGTGCAAAACATAACTTACGCATGTTTATGATTTGAGAGTGTAAGAGTCTTTTTTCTACCTATTAATTAGAATTGCTAATCTGTGCTTGTTCTGTACTGTTGTATTTATTTCCCAAATTATAATTTGTTACAGAATTGCTGTAACAAATTACTATGATTTAGTGGCTTAAAACAACAAAAATTTATCATCTTACAGTTTTGGAGGTCAAAAGTCTGAAATGAGTTATGGGGTTAATTTAGATAGATCACTGGGCTAAAATGTGGAATAACAATTTAGTCATGGGGCTAAAATCAAGCTATTGCAGGGCTATAGTCCTTTCTAGCGGCTCTAGGAATGAATCTATTCCTTGCTTTTTCTGGTTTCTAGAGGTTGCCCATATTTCTTTGCTAGGGACTCTCTTCCATCTTCTTATTTTTAATTTTATTTTTTAATTGATTAATAATTGTAGATATTCATGGGGTACATACAATGTATAGTGATCAGATTAGGGTAACTAGCATAACATCATCTCAAATATTTATCATTTCTTTGTGCTGGGAATGTTTAATATTCTCCTTCTAGCAATTTGCAAACTATATAATATGTAATTGTTCCCTCCATCCTCAAAGCTAGCGATCGCTGGTTGGTCTTTCCCATGCTGCATCCCTCTGACTCTGTCTGGCTTTCTGTTTTACTTATAAGGACCCTGGTGATTACACTAGGTCCACCCAGTAATCCCAGATAATCTCCCTAGCTTAAGATCTGCTGATGAGCAACCGTACTCCATCTCCAACCTTAACTCTCCTTTGCTTTGTAACATATCACACTTGCAGTTTCTGAGGATTAGGACATGAACACTTTGGGGGATTATTCTGCCTACCGTATCTGTTGAACAACAGCTGGAAACAATAATACAGGTAAAACCGTTTTAATGTCAAGCGACTATCACTGACGCAGGGTGTGATTCTAATGGGAAGATTCTTTTGGGATCTTAAATCTGTCGATAGTTTTTTGTTGCTTGTGTTTGTTACCTCCTTTCCAGAATCTGAGAGAACTAATTTGAAATGAGAGTAGGAATATTTGAATTTCAAAATGAAAACAGAGTTCATATCAAGAAAATGTCAAATTTCTATTCCAACTTGGGAGGCAGCTACAGCTATCTATTGAGCTAGCAAGACTTTAACTTGTGTGAGTTTTGGCGGTAAAAATATCCCAACCTGCACAGCCTGTCCTCCGAGGGACCGATCCAACTGAACAGTCAGGAATGCAGATGTTGTCAGCTCATCTCGCGTGGCATTTGCTCCTTGCCTAGAGGAATGAAAGTGAAATAAATTAGCTTGCCTTTAAGTTTTAAGATCGTTGCATGTAGGCATTGCAAGCAGAGACAAGTTATTATGAAAGATCAAGAAGAAGCAAACTGTTTTAACATGATATGAGCTGTTAAGCTATTGTTTTTGTCAAGGTATCTAACATTGAATTGTCCTATGTGTCGTCTAGAACTGTATATGGTAGGCATTTTTATCTCCATTTTAAAGAAATTGAGCTTTTGTTCCTTACATAACTTAGCTAAGTCATCAGGTTCACCTGATTTCAAGTTGGAGCTGCCTATTTTTTAGAAAACACCACTACAGTGAAAAATAATCCATCTGAAATGAAAATACGAGCCAAACTTATTGCGTTGACCGTTAGTGGCATTTTGTCTTTCTTTTTTTTTTTTTTTTTGAGATGGAGTCTCACACTGTCACCTGGGCTGGAGTACAATGGTGCAGTCTTGGCCCACTGCAACCTCCGTCTCCCGGGTTCAAGCGATTCTCCTGCCTCAGGCTCCGGAGTAGCTGGGATTACAGGCATCTGCCACCACACCCGGCTAATTTTTTGTATTTTTAGTAGAGATGGGGTTTCACTGTGTTGGCCAGGCTGGTCTTGAACTCTTGACCTCATGATCTGCCCGCCTCAGCCTCCCAAAGTGCTGGAATTACAGGCATGAGCCACCACGCCCAGCCAGCATTTTGTCTTTCTATGAATATTTGGTGAGCATGAACCAAATGTCTGTAACCCAGAAAAATCAAGAAAATAATAATGAGAAGTTGACAATGGAGAGGCCCCATTTTGTCATCTTAGCAATTCCATAAGGAATTATTTATTATTATTATTATTTTTTTTGTTTTTGTTTTTTTTTTGAGACAAGAGTCTCACTCCATCACCCAGGCTGGAGTATAATGGCATGAACTTGACTCACTGCAACCTCCGCCTCCCGGGTTCAAGCGATTCTCCGGCCTCAGCCTCCTGAGTAGCTGGGATTACAGGTGCTTTTTTGTATTTTTAATAGAGACAGGGTTTCACCACGTTGGTGAGGATGGTCAGGCTGGTCTCAAACTCCTGACCTCAGGTGATCCACCTGCCTCCGCCTCCCAAAGTGCTAGAATTAAAGGGATGAGGCACCATGACCTGCCCACCATAAGGAATTAGTAATAAGGCTGTACAAGATGCTAAGCTTCCAGCACTCAGATACGGGTCAGTCCATCAATATGGCCCATCAATATGGCCAGTTCATTTGTAGCCTCTCTTTCTAGGGTAGCTTGTGGCTGTTAACTCTGTGTCATCTTAACCTGTAAAGTAACTTGTGGGAGATCTGCTGTTTGATGAGCTTGTAGAGAAGACAATAAAAGAAAACAAACAAAGCTCCAAACATGGTAAAAGCACTCATTGAGCATTATTTATTTTTAGCCAACTTTCCCATTTCTATCTGACTAGTGGTTAGCTTAGCAGTAGGAATGCTAAACTTGGATTTAGACTTTGAAAGTTAACTATTAGATTGGTGCAATCTATTAGATTGCTGTGTTTGCTATTAAAAGTAATGGCAAAAGCCACAATTACTTTTTTTTTTTTGGAGACGGAGTTTCGCTCTTGTTGCCCAGGCTGGAGTGCAATGGTGCAATCTCGGCTCACTACAACCTCCGCCTCCCGGGTTCAAGTGATTCTCCTGCCTCACCCTCCCGAGTAGCTGGGATTACAGGCATATACCACTATGCCCGGCTAATTTTGTATTTTTAGTAGAGACAGGGTTTCCTCCATGTTTGTCAGGCTGGTCTCAAACTCCTGACCTCAGGTGATGCGCCTGCCTTGGCCTCCCAAGGTTCTGGGATTACAGGCGTGAGCCATGGCGCCTGGCCTACCCGCAATTACTTTTGCAGCAACACTAATATATCTTTTCTTCTAAAACTTTGACAGTAAACTGTTCCATACTTGGAACAGATTAACAGAACCTGCCACGTTGGGCAACACACACGCGCACACACACACACCCCCAAAACACTGGGAAGAGGGTGCATATCTTATCACACAATTTTCCATTGGACCAGCATAGGCAAATGGTTGATGTAAAAATTTTCTACAGAGAGGTGCAAAAAAAAACCATGCACACACATGTTGATAAGAAAATAAAAAATGTTTTCCTTAATAAAGGAACTACTAAAAACATAGTGTTTTAATGTCAATAGCCTACATTTCCCAAGAGCCTATAATGCTAGCCAACACCTGTGTGTGTACTGGAAGCACAGGGTGAGGAGTTACACAGAGCTGCATGAGGACGGGCCACCGCAGGGTCTGTATCATGCATTGTTTCTTTGTCACATCTGTGGTTTCCTGAATTCTCGCTTCCAGCTGTTGTTAAAAATGGCTGCTTTCCATTTTGCTTTTATTCTGAAGGGAAGAAATCCAACCACTGAACAGACAATATTACCCAACTTTTGTCTTCATTTTGCTCCTTTTTTTTTGGAATATTTCAACTAGCAAACCTGAAAAACATCACTAAGTTTCTGCCTCATGACCCGCTGAACAAATACTTTCTACTCATCTTAAACCTCTCTTCTGGATCCCAAGTACCATACTGCCATCCACACAGATTCAAGTATTCCACTATAATCAAGAAATAACACAGTCGCTCTTTTTCTAATTTTAAAATCTTATGCTGAACAAAAAAAGCAATCTACTTTGACGTATTTTTTCTTTATAAACCTGTGGTGGTTGTTGCTCATTAAAGATGAGTGCTGCGTAAAAATGGGATTTACTGCTTGAGGAGATTCATCATTGTCGTCTGTTCAATTTTAATTACCTGATATTTCAGAGAAAAGATCATTGCTGAAATTATTTCTGTCCTGTCATTTCAGAATACAAGTGGTTTCATAACTGATTTAATTCTAGTTTCTCACCTTTAACTCTGCCTCTTGGACTTAAACCTATTTATATCCCTGCATTGAAATTATCACATAAACTGGAAAGTTGTTTAATTTGAAAGCCAGTCTTCGATGGAACTGCTTATTTTTTGAAATCCTCTTCACTATCTTTATGGAAGCTTTTGAAGTTCCACAAACCATACAACACTAACAGACTTACATACTTCACATCCATGATTTCAAATGGTGAAGACTCACAAAAGGACTCTGAAGTATCTAATTTACATTCTTGATATCCCCCAAATATATACATTCTTATGATGGAAATGTTGAACATTTCAAATTGGAAAGAAGAAAACTAAATGACCATCCTTCCAGCCCCATTCCAAAGATAGTAACTATTACCAATGTGGTGCCTTCTCGTTCTCTTCTTTTTCCTTTTGCATTTTTGTGCAGTGTGGGCCAAACTTGTCTTCCTCGTAAGATTTTTAATCTCAGGAAATAAAACGCTACCCATTTATGCTCAGACCAGAAACCCAGGGGTCATTCTTGTCTTTGTCTTCTCCATTCCCCATTAACAGTTTTTCTGGTGCCAATACCTTAACACATTGCAAATTTGTCTCATTCTTTCCTTCCCTGTTGTCACTACACTAAATTCAGGCCACATCATTCAGCTGGATTATTGCAACACATTCCCAGTTGTCTTCCTGCTGCTAGCCTTCCTCTACCAATCCATTCTGCAGATGTCAATCAGAATAATTTATCTAAAATGAAAACCAGGCCAGGCGTGGTGGCTCACACCTGTAATCCCAGCACTTTGGGAGGCCAAGGCAGGTGGACCACTTGAGGTCAGGAGTTCAAGACCAGCCTGGCCAACATGGTGAAATGCCATCTCTTCTAAAAATACAAAAAATTAGCCGGGCGTCGTGGTGTGCACCTCTAATCCCAGTTACTCAGGAGGCGAGGCAGGAGAATAGCTTGAACCTGGGAGGCAGAGGTTGCAGTGAGCCAAGACTGGAGCCACTGCACTCCAGCCTGGGTAACAGAGTGAGACTGTCTAAAATAAAATAAAATGAAATAAAATGAAAATCAATCATGTAACACCCCATACAAACTCTTTCAGTGACTCCCAATGTCTTAAAAATAAAGTTTGTCCTCTTCAGCATGGTTTATGAGGCCATTTACAATTTGGCTCCTTCTAATTTCCTTTGTTTTATCTTTTGCAGCCTAAATGTTCTCCAGCCATACTCTATGACGAGTAGATTAGAGCACACTATTTTCCTGCATTGCTTGGAACAACTTCCCTATTTGCCTGCCTATCTAGCTTCCACTTCAATGCCACTTTTTCTAGGAGGCTGTCTTAGTTCATTTTCTGTTGCTTATAACAGAATACCTGAAACAGGGTAATTTATAAGGAAAAGGAACTTATTTTTACAGTTATGGAGAGTGAGAAGTCCAAAGTCAAGAGATCACATCTGGTGAGGGTTTTCTTGCTGGCAAAGACTCTGCAGACTCCTGAGGCAGTGCAGGTCATCACACAGTGAGTGTTTGAGTATGCCAGCTCAGGCTTCTTTCCCTTCTTATAAAGCCACTGGTCCCATTCTCATGATAACCCATTTATCCACTAATGGACTCATCCTTTCATGAGAGCTATCATCTCTTAAAGGCCCCATCTCCCAATATTTCCACACTGAAGATTAAGTTTCAACATGAGTTCTAGAGGGTACAAATATTTAACCAATAGCCTAGGAGTATGGTGGAGGGTCTGTATATAATTATCAAAAGATCACTCAGCTTGATCTTACATAAAATCGTCTATATTGCACTAAAAATACCTGTTAATCATCTGTTTCTCATTACATATAAGCTCCTGAAGACACAGGTTGTATTTTTCTTTCCACCACTGTATCTCCAGAAATTAGTACAATGCTGAGCACATAAAGTGCTTTCAAATGATACAAGAAATAGCTACAATTTAAAACCTAAATTTAGCATTTAAAATTTGTAACCTGATTTGTTCTATTTTAGTATGTCCATATAGACATTTATATGGGTTGCAAATTGTTAATTCCTCAAAACACTCGCATTACTTGCTTAGTCTTTTTTCGTTTAATCTAAATTCACAATCAATTATGTTTTTCATATTCAAAAGAGAATTAACAGGAAAACCATGAAATAAAATGCAAAAGAAAAGTTAACTAGGAATAATTAATTTATCCCAATAAATGCTATGATTTTGTTGCACAAACACTTTTCTGAATTAAACTTTTAGAAAATGAAATTGCAAAATAAGGACATAACTACCTGATATAGATATACTCAAGCCTTAAAGAGACCAATCGATTAAGATTTAAAATGTTGCCTTACAACAGTTGTAACTTTGAGTTAAATTACTTTGTCTGTCTAATCTCCCCTGCTCCATTCTTTTTGGAAAGACGTAAAACAAACAAACAAAAAAAAAACAAAAAAAAAACCAAGGAAACATCTGGCACTTTGCCAGTGAAAACATGCTGCTCACAGAATGGTTGCTATTAAGACGACATGTTAACCACAGAGCTAAATAGCTAAACGCATTCATCTAGGACAGCATATGGAGTGACTGTGGCATCAGAGATGGTCCTGGGTGCGGTGGTTCACACCGATGTGGTGGTGTAGATTAGAATCTCAGGAATCCCCTCAGCTGAGATTTTGATTTGTTTGGTGTGGGTGAGAGCATTTGGATTTATGAGAAATTGTTCAGGTTATTCCAATATGCAGTCAGTGTTCTAAACCACTGCCTGAGGCAATGTCTGTTAATCATTGAAGTGCATGTGAATTACTTGAGGTCCTTGCTAAAATGCAGGTTCTGCCTTAGTGGGTCAAAGGTGGGGCCTGAGAGTCTACAAATCTAAGAAGTTCCCAGGTGATATTGATGCCTCCGAGTTCCCAGACCACTCTTTTGGTGTCATCCCATCTCTTGAACTTGAATGGGCTCAAGGCACTGGGCAGTGTAGATGACCAGACTATGGGGATGAGTGTGACTCTGTCTTTGTGTGTGAGGTTCACCAAAAAGAAATGTGACCATATCAGCAGAGTACTGAATGCATGTATATTCTATACACCTATTACAGGTTGTTATAACTATGTAGGCAAAGGTAGGATCCTGCCCTGCCTTTGCACCTTACACCCACATTTCTCTGCTTGAAGATCTTTTTTAAGAATTATTTTCTTTTTTCCAGCCTTCTTAGCAATATTCTATTTTTACCTGATTTCACTTAATAAAAAGTTAGAGAATTTCACATTATATAATTTCTTGCTGAATCCCCATCCCTTGACGTATCCTGGCATGGTGTATGCACATAAATTACTTGGTTGGACATTTGGTCATTTTCTCCTTGAGCAGGGCATTGGTATTTACTGAAAGTATATTTAGACTTCAATTAACCCAAATCATCATGCAAAACCATGTAAGATGAAAACACAGGGGCTGGGAGCAGTGGCTCACACCTGTAATCCCAGCACTTTGGGAGGCTGAGGCGGGCGGATCACAAGATCAGGAGATCGAGACCATCCTGGCTAACATGGTGAAACCCCGTCTCCACTAAAAATACAAAAAGTGTATCCAGGCGTGGTGGTGGGCCCCTGTAGTCCCAGCTACTCGGGAGGCTGAGGCAAGAGACTGGCGTGAACCCGGGAGGTGGAGCTTGCAGTGAGCCAAGATTGGGCCATTGCACTCCAGCCTGGGTGACAGAGTGAGATTTTGCCTCAAAATAAAAATAAAAACAAAAACAAAAAAACCGCAATTGCATATTTTTTCCATTATTGTAAATTTAATGGAAACAAAGAATAAGAATTGCATCAAGTTGAGGTATCAATGGAATCACAAATTGTATCTCCTACAGGTTTTGCCATATTGCAACTTTGCAGTTCCAATTAGGATGGACCTCTCTGAATTTTAACAATAAGAAGCCATGGTACCTGACACTTGCTGTTGCAGTGTTAACCTGCGTACAAGATGAGATATTCAACTACATATCCACTAGCAGAACATCACTGGTTTGGGATATCAAAACTTTTTCCCTAGACTAGATAGCATGATTTTTATGTAACTCCTGCTGCCTGTGGATGGCAGCTGCAAAACAAAGTCAAAATCATATAAAAAGAAACTACTACATGCATGCTACACAAATTTCACTGGGGTGATTATAGGATTATTCTACCCCATATTGCATGGAATTTAATACTTTGGAGCAAAATCTGGCTCCTGTGGAACCCGAGATCTTTGCCCGATATAAACTCACCACGTGTAGATAATTTGTCCTCTGGGATAGGTGTAGAGTATGATGTAGCAGTCACCACCATAGAATTCACCATATGAGTTTTGGTCGACTTGGATCCTACCATTGTTTTCTACACGCCAAATCTGGAAGGAATGGAATATATACACCAAATTACAATTTTCTTGATCTAATAGTACTTCTCATAAGCTTTAAATAATTTTTGGTTCAAATCTATTATTAAACAACTTTTAAATTATTTTTTAACTAGTTTACAAATCAAGCAAAGGAAAGAAATTGTTATCAATTTGCCAATTTATTGACATTTTAAGTACTTTTATGTTTCTTTTGCTTCCTTTACAGTATTAAGCTCAGTTCCGAGCCTGGTGATTAATAAATACCTATTGTTTCATCTACTAGTGGAAATAACATGACACTCCAGTGGAATAAAAAACTGCAAGATTCAGCTCAGAAATATGTATTTTAATTTTTTCTTCAATTATGAAATAACATGTGTATTTTTTTCCCTGTGCTTGAAGATAGGAGACTATTATTTTCCCAGGCAAGACTTGGTAGACTATGACCAGATACTGAAGATGCTACAACACACTGAATGTTTGAGTCCGTCCACGATTTATGTTGAAATCCTAACCTCCAGTGTGACGGTATTAGGAGGTGGGACCTTTGGGAGGTACTTAGGTCATGAGGCCAGAACCCTCATGAATGAAATTAGTGCCTTTATAATCAGAAAGCTCTCTAGCTCCTTTTTCACCACGTGAGGATGCAGCAAAAAGTCTACCGGGAAGTGGATCCTCCACCAAACACTGAGCCCATCAAAACCTTCAACGTAGACTCCCCAGCCTCCAGAATGGTGAGAAATAAATGTTTCTGCTTAAACTCTCAATCTACGGTATTTTTGTTATAGTAGCCTGAACAGACTAAGACCAAAACGATAACATGACTTCTGTTTTTAAAAGGTGCCATCCAGGTATAAGACTGAAATGTGATGATGGGATAAAAACAGGCAGAACCACTTTCATTCTACCTCCTCCTCTTCAGCACAGATTAAAGACCCTCCAAGTTGGAGAGATGAGAACTGTAGATGAAACAGGAGAGTAACAAATGAAGGAGAGGCTGCCAGGCACTGTGTGTGTACGTGTAAGCACACATACACACACACATATGCACACTTGCCTAAGTTCTCCGGTGGGAAGGGCAGACTCTTTGCTTTGAAATCTGAAGATGAGCAAGTGGACAGGAGCAGTGCAATGCTTCTAGAGAGAGGCCACCCCACCCTATCCTAGAGAGCAGAAGCCTTATATCCTAGAGACAGCACAAGATCCTAGAGAGAGCTCCCCAGATTTCAGCAGCCCTAGGATGGCACAGGAGAAGGCTGCAGCCAGGACACAGCTGGTGCTGGAGACCAAGTTTGCCAGGAGGACTGAGCTCCATCAGGAATGTCTAAGTAGGAGACAGATGCAGACCCAGAAGTCGATACTCCTTTGACAACAGCCATGAGGGACATTTGTGAACTTCTCCCTTGGCGCTCCCCACTCCCCAACACCCATGCCACTTAGATTCATGCTTCATGTCTTTGAAAAGAGTTAAAATTATTTCACTAATTTCTTGACCGTATACTTTGGTCCAAGCATTGTAGTAAGCCCTAGGAATATAGAGATGAAATATTTAATTCCTGTCCTCAAGGAATTGATGAGAGGTCTAGGAGAAATCTGGCAGTAAATGAACAATTCTGTGGTAGGTATATGATAAATTCTGTGAAAAATATCCCTAGAGGTTGAATACAGAGAAAGGCCACTTCAGCACTGAGGGAAGCCTTCTCAGAAAAGGTATGGCTTGTGATTTAACTGAGTTGCCAATGAGGTGTAGGAACGTTAGCTAGATGGCAGAGGGGAAGTCAGTCCTCAAGGCAGTGGATAGGTGAAGCCAAGAGAAGGGAAAGGGTCAAGGGTCCAGCTGAAGATGGATGTTCTCAGGAAGGCTGAGGAGAGCCATTAAATATGTATAAATACATTTAGATATACATTTACAAATATATATGTATATATAAACACAGATATCTGTATGTATACACATTTATATATGTGTGTGTGTGTGTGTGTATACACATTTCTCCCTCTGTCACCCAGGCTGGAGTGCAATGGTGTGGTCTTGGCTCACTGCAGCCTCCACCTCCCAGGCTCAAACGATTCTCATGCCTCAGTCTTCCAAGTAGCTGGGACTACGGGTGAGCTCCACCACAGCTGGCTAATTTTTGTATTTTTAGTAGAGGTGGGGTTTCACCATGTTGGCCAGGCTGATCTCGAACTCTTGACCTCAAGGGATCTCCCCTGCCCTCTCCCAACATACACTAGCATTCATGGGCTTGACGAAAACAAAAACAGGTAAATACCTCCACTTTGCCAGAACCATCATCCACCATATTGTGCTGGGCTGCCATCTGTGGAGAACTATGTAATTTTGAGGCATCAAAGGGAATTTGTTTTATTTGAGCCACTTTCTCTGTGACATATACTTTCCCGAGGCCATCACTCTGATCTTTATCTCTCCAGTCCTTAAAAAACTGTTTGAAGATTGGTGTTTCACCTCCTTCTGGAAGAACTTGAATCTGAAATTTAAAATAATAAAAATAATAAACAGGAAAATAAGCAATTGAGGGAAAATATGAATCTGGCAGTGGAAACAGAACTAAGGAAATGAAAAATTATCCTGGTTTGGCTATCAAGCTCATATAATCCAAAACTGCTTTTTCTCATGACTAAAGTAATTACCACTGAATTTTAATATTTGAGAGACGAATCAAGTTCTTTAATATGTTATCCCTGCAGTAAAATAAGTTTGTCTTTCTCCATAAGGTTCACAAGAGATCTGTGAGCTGGAAGAAATTATCTCATTGTGTTCCTTTTGTAAGGACATAAAAACGAGGAGAATAGATGAGGCTGAGAGATTTGGAAAGGAAAGGAGTAATTAGACAGTGTCTAAATTGATTTTGATTAAGACAAGTATCATCTGGGTTTCAGGCCAAGTCTGCACAACTTGCTCTAAGGAATAATAACTCATAAGTGCTCTTAGCTAAATCTACTGTGGTTTACTATCTTGAATTAAAGGCAGTGGAGGAAGTGAATGGGCGCTCTATAGAAAGTCTGATGAGCAGTTTCTAAAAAATTCTAACCCCCACACAGATAAAGAGGGACATGTGACACCAGATTGTAGCAGGCAGGCAGGTGGAGAATCACTTCACATGCAGACGTTACTTTGACCCAAACTTTTTCATGAGTTTCATGGAGATGTCATGAATTCCCATGTTTTCTATTTTTTTCTAGCCAGTTCATTTTCACACATACTTGGGTATTCTTGGAATAATTCATTTGCTGTAGAAATTCTTCAGCTGTCTTCATTGCAGCCTTCCTCTCCTGGGGATTAGCATCTTTACCTAAAATACAAGGTAAATTAAAGAGAAAGAACTTCAGAGAAGGAAGACATTCTATGATTAAGAAATACTTGTGTACCATAATAAACATAATTATAATTGAAGTTAAATGCAACAGTGAAAGAATAACAAAATTGGCCGGGTGTGGTGGTTCATGCCTGTAATCCCGGCACTTTGGGAGGCTGAGGCGGGTGGATCACGAGGTCAGGAGTTTGAGACCAGCCTGGCTAACACGGTGAAATCCCGTCTCTACAAAAAAATTAGCCAGGCATGGTGGCGGGCGCCTGTAGTCCCAGCCACTCGGGAGACTGGGGCAGGAGAATGGCGTGAGCCTGGGAAGCCAAGCTTGCAGTGAGCCGATATTGCGCTACTGCACTCCAGCCTGGGTGACAGAGCAAGACTCTGTCTTAAGAAAAAAAAAAAAAAAAGAATAGCAAAAATTTCCTGGTATATGAAGTATATTTAACAATACGCGAAAAACGTTATTTGTAAAACAATTCTTTTTATATTGCCCAAATGCTTTTTTTTTTTAAACTTCATATCCCTGGTACATGATGTTGGTAGGAGGAAAATGGCTGTATTTTATGTGAGACATGTATAGATCAAGTCTTAATTAAAAGGTGGGATTTTTAAAAAAAATCAAAAAAATATATTTTATGTAGCCTTTTAGAGGAAATATATATACATCGGAAATACAGCATCGCCAATGGAATTTTTCACCTTTCCATACGAAAATTTGTTTTGCAGCCCCGTGGTCCAAAATAAAGCATTCTTCAGAAAGCAGCATTGCCATCGAGAAGGGGTTTTCTTCTGCCACCACAGTCACCCTCATGGAGCCACTTGCATCTGAAACCTAATATAAAAACCACGACCTCCATGTTTTCATTTGGGAATGATGAGGATGTTCTATAATTAGATTATGGTAACGGTTGTACAACTCGGTAAATGTAATAAAATAAAAAGCATTGAACTGTACACTTTAAATGCATGAATTTTATAGTGTATAAATTATATCTCAATAAAACTGTTTCAAAGAAAATGAAAAGAATCCACAAGACTTCATTACACTCCAATTTTTTAAAAAAAGTCCTTTGGGGTAAACTTAACAAATAAAAAGTTAAGTTTTGACACTGTGCCTAAAACATCAGAAAAGAATAGTGATAATAATAATGGCTAGACAGATGCTCTTATGTACTAAGAACCATGTAATTAACTTTACATGATTATTTCTTGTACGTTTTAGAGCAATCTTTTCAAATAGGTAATAATCTTAAAATCATTACATACACACAAGAAGATGAAGTTTAAACATTAATTTAGTCAACATTTACTATCTACTATATACCAGCCACTTTGCTAATTAAGCTATTGATACAGTTTATGCATAAAGATTTTTTTCAACATAGGTCCTGCAAGGTAAATACACTTTGTATAAATTATCAAAGTAAATTTCTTCTGTGACATTTGGAAATGACTACAGACTATTAAAACAATTTTTTAAGTGGTCTTATAAAATCGAAAGTGATATTCATGTGCAAGTTAGGATTTACTGGTTTTCAATGGCCAGCTTGTATGCTACAGTTTAGTCACCAATTATGCATATTCCAGAGCCCTCCCTTGATCAGTGGTGGAGTTTTGCAGGACCAGGGTGGAGTTTGAATTCCGTAGTTTTAGAAAATGCCCCAGGTGATTTTGCTTGCCAGCCTTGTTAAGAAACCGGAATTATTTTCAAAGGAACTTTATACTTTATATCCATGTAATACAGCATAGCTCCACTAGAGGAAGCTATGACTCAGGATGAATATTTTCCCCTTTAAAAACACTTCTTTAGTTCATAATGCTGTCCAAGAGGGAGAACCGTTTTGGTTGATGATGTGAAATAAAAGATATCTGTCAGGCTGTTGAAAATGAGTTTTAGAAATAGTAATTTTTAAAAGCAGTCACAAAATATTTAGGTAACATTTTCTGTATGGCTCATATTAAAATTACCAATATTTAGCAGAAATGGTAACCATATTTCCTTTTGCATTTAGGAAGAAAAAAATCCACTTATTATGAAAAGGAAGTTACGCTGAACAAGTTATTAATTTGGTCTTCACATAAAATCACAGAGTTTCGGAGCCAAAAAACCCTTAAAGAGCAGCAAATATAGTTTCTTTCTGATACAGATGAGAAAACTACTAAATTCTGCTGGAGATTTACGATTTGCTCCAAAGAAAGTTGCAAGGGGAGGGAACACTTGAAGAATACCACTGTAGCAATCCCCTTAACTGGAGTGCCTTGCAGTTTTTGTTACCCTCAACAGAAAAAACAAACAAACAAAAAAATAAAAAAACTACAGAGTTGGAAGGAACCTACTTTCTTTTCTGTGTGTGGATAAGAATGCTAAGACCCAGAGTGGTTATATCCTGTGCGAAGTCATGCTGCTAATCATGTGCCATACAGCTGATGTGGAAGTAGGTATGTTAATGCCCAGAACAGAAGTGTTTTTACCCTGGTTCCCTCCAGCTGTTTGATTTGGTAGCTCAGCCCTCCTGTAACAAAGAACTCCTTCATTATGGCTAAAGACAATGTTTTAAATAGGGTGAAGGCTTTACATTCTTATCAAGAATTGATAAGAAAAAACTGATAAAATATTTTTACTCCATAAAGGAAATATTGTATTGAGTACTACATATCAAACGATTGTTGCAAACTAGTACAGCAACAGTATATAATTTTATGTGAGTCACAGCAATAAGTTCACATATTTGTTGTTTTACATAAAAATAACAAAAAGTATTAAAACTTAATTTAAAAAAATATACAAGAGCAAAGAACTGATTCTATCTACACATTGCTCTTGGAGAGCGATGAGGAGATTTCTCAATTGCAACAAAGGGAATCCCTCCCAATACAGGCCTCTCTAGCTACATCCAGTCCTGTAGAAACAATAAATTTGGTTACAGTGAACTCACCATGTATAGTTTAGCCATTTTCCTGTTACTTATGTCTGCTATAATGTCATCATCATCACCTCCATCTGGAAGCTCCGGCTTTCCTCCTAAGACCTGGAAAAAAGTGAACAGTGGATGCAAAGATAAAGACCTCTCATTAAAGGATGCAGAGTTAGAAACATACATTTATAAAGACATGGATTATAAAATATTTGCAATTAAAATGACCAGGCTCAAACACTTCTCATCAATTCATACACAGTAGTCCTTTTCACATGGGTCAAATCAATCAATTACATTAAGTAAACTGAGTTTGCTTGTGATATGAATTTCCAAGAAAGGCAAATTCCTAATTTGAAAGCCTAGGTGTCCATATTACTGAAAGCTAGAAGGAATTAATTAAAACTTGAGCTCTATGTTCAGCTCTGCAGCAGAATTTATTCTATGACCTCTGCTTCTAGAAATAATCTCTAAGGTTTATGAGTTTATTATAATAAAGATTTGAATCAAAATTACTATCTGGAGGTAAAATACTATTATAATTATTGACATATAGGATGAAGTGCAAGCTCTTGATCACCCAAATCACGCTTTGTTTTCTGCTGTATCGTTGGCACTTGGAACAGTTCTTGGGACATAGTATATGCTCAGTAAGTATTTGTCAAATTAATGAATAAATGTATTTATCTATTCTGTGCATATGTGATGCAATCCAAAAGTCTAAAAAAGTGTGTTTGGTAGAAAATACATTTGAATCTGCTTTGAATTTCTTTATATTAAAATAAAAAATATGTCTATGAGTAATTAATTTATTAAATTAATTAACACAAACAGCATAGAATGTCAAGGACAGGAGTCAAATATAAACTTATTCTAAATAATTTAATTTTTATAATATAGATATAAATTCAAGTTTAGAAAATGCAAAAGTGTTCATTTAGATACAACAAATACTTAATACACAATGAGTTCCTTACATAATGTGTTTTATATTCACTATTCCTTACAATATATTGTATAAAAACACAATATATTGTATAAAAATGTGTACTGCAAAATACCAGAAAACAATAAAAATATACTTTTATCCTTGCATGAGTATAAGTACATTCTCAAATTTAGAGATGCATCAGAGAACTTACGTTCTCTGAGAACATACCTATCTTTTTATTTGTACTATGACCAATAAGATGTTTTAGATACTGTACATGCTAAATGATTGTAATAGTTTTTCTTTTTTTGCCAAAAATAGAACCAAGCAAAAAAAAAAAAAAACCACTTGTGACCAAAAGCCTTTTTTAAAAAACACTTTTGCTATAAGTATGTATAGGAGGTTGTAAGAGCCATCAAAGATCTCCTCACATATACTTTTCTAATTCTACTCCAACTAAGACCGTAGTTTGGAATAAACAGTTTGCGTTAAGGGCATATCTAATACTAGGAAACCTCCCAGCGGGAGGACCCAGTCTGGGATTTGAGGCACACTCTAACTTTTAATTTTCAGACCACAATTCCCATATTAGCCAGGCATTTTAATTAGCTTCTCAAAGGACTGCAGCATAGTTGGGAATTGAACCCAAGGGATTTAACAAAAACAGGCTTAACTCCGGGGTAGAAAGATGCCGTATATTTGTCAGGAATCATCTCTAAGGATCACTTTAAAATTGAGTTCAACTAAGCATTTATCAAATATTTGAGGTCACTGAGGTATATAGATGAGTTTCTAACCACATTGTCCAACACTTAAGGACTTTACATCTGGTGTAGAAAGAGCAAAATAACTAAATATGTTCACTTTATCAACTAGGCCATACATTTTGATCTTTGACATAAACTGTGAATACAGCTTGGAGTATCATGCCTGAATGTAAAACATTTTCATTTTGGGTTGCCCACGCGATTGGCATTTAGCTCATGTAATCCTTTGCATGTGAAATAACATATATTTTGACAATTTAATGGGGTACAAACACAGAGAACCCTCATTTGAGGGTGTTACATAAAAATTTCATCAATTGTTCTAGCCAAGATTTATCTTGCAAGTTTGGAGCTCCTCTTTCTTTCAATTATTTTCTGTAAGTTTCTGTTTAAAAGTATTGCCATCATCTAAATACTCCAAGCTAAACTTATTTTCTACAAAATTAGCCACTCTCAATTCTCCATTGTGTAATGTATCTCTATTCTCTCCTCTTTATATGGACTTACAATTATGTGATCAATTTTAAATACTTCCTCTCCTGCACTTTGGATCTCCTACCCACTCCTACCCACTTATTATTTTTAATAATGGTTAGTCACCGATTCCCGTCTATTCCTTGATTCAGACCCTAGTGAAGGCCCTCATCCCTCTTGTTGTGGGTAACAGCTCTGCCAGTTCCACTTCCTTCAGTGTCACCTCATCTTTTCATCCTAAGAGTTATCCTGGACACTGGCTGCAAGGCCCCTTACTTCACATTACTCCTATGTTGTAGGAATATGACTCTAGATCAAGGAAATCCTGTCATTTGCAACAACATGGACGAACTTATTGTATATTACGCTAAGTGAAATAAGCCAGATACAGAAAGATAAACAATGCATGATCTCATTAATAAGTGGAATCCAAAATAGTCCAATTCATAGAAATAGAGTGGTAGAATGGTGATTGCCAGGGGCTGAAAAATAGAAGAAATGGAGAAATGTTAGTGAAAGAATTCAAACTTCCAGGTATAAGATAAATAAGTTCTGGAGAAAAAATATAGTATGATGGTTATACTTATTAATAATGTAGTTTATATTTGAAATTTGCTAAAAGAGAAGATATTAAAATATTTTCACCACACACACAATGTGAGGTGACAGATGTTAATTATCTTCATTGTGGCAATCATTTCACAACTTATACATATATCAAAATACCATTTTGATAGATGTATGCACATCATATATATATATAGGCATCTATCAAAATATCACATTTTGATAGATGTATATGTACAAACTTTGTCAATTATCCCTTTATAAAGCTGGAAAACATTTAAAATTTCTTTTTAAATTTTT